ACCACTACTCGTCGCTTTCTGACTCCGACTCGGTAATGTCCTCCTCTGACGTCTGAATGTAGGCATCAGCATGCTACTCGTCTTCAAAGTCCCAACCCGACGTTTCCCGTAGCTTCAGTTTCAATTGAGCGGCCTGCTTCCGCGAACGCTTGGCCTCCCGATAGGCGGCTCGCTCTGTCCTCCTCGCGTCCCTCTCCAACCTCCTTTGCTTGTAGAACTGACGCTCATCGACGATGTCCTGCGGGAAGCGTTCGCGCCACACCTCCATGGCTTCCATGTCCATCTCGGCGATGGTGAGGCGATGCTGCCACCTCCGGTAGACACGACGACCCTCGTCGGTGAAAAGCCGCGGGAGAGGCGCCAGATCCTGCGCCCGCTGGCTCGACACGTCGGGAAAATTCATATCCCGACGAGGCCTCAGGAGGCGCTACACCGCCGCGTCATGCGCGGGGGCCACCTCCTCTGGCGTGTCGAAGGTGCCGAGGATGAGACGTTTCTCGTGAAACCAGATCTCGGAGGAGAAGGCGCCGGAGCGGCGCTCACGGACTCCACAAAAATCCGAAGTGCCCAGCTGACGGATCGACATGGTGGCGCTGAGGCGAGACGATTGGGCGGCGGACAACAAGCTGGGCAGAGTGTGGAGGGAACGCCTTCTTATAACAAGTGCCGGCAGCGGCGCGCGCATGAACCTTTCCCACGCACTAGGCCGCTTTCCCCCCGCGTGCTGGAGCGCCAAAACCAGGGCGACGGCATGGCCGCTGGCATGATCTAAAGCGCGCACGGTCATGATATGGGTCGGCCCGTTGGGCGCACTGCCGACCCAAAACTAAAAAAGGGCGGACGGCGAGCGGGCGGCCGATCCAAACAAACAAAAAACGGACAAAAACATCGTTCATTTGGGTCGATCCGTTGGAGTTGCTCTAACTTGTGGAGATACTTGACCCATTGAACTGAAAGCTCGATAGAGTCCCGGCAGGGGATATTTTACATCATGAGGAAAGATAATGAGGTCCAACCACTCTCTCTTAAAGTACAATAAAGCTTCATTGGTGACATTATAGAAGTGTGTGACTTAATGGGTAAAATGTACAAGCTCCGCAGAGTGAAAAAATATTTAACTAGTCATTGTCCATGGTCATGGACGGAGTCGGGATAAGTGTACAAGAAGTAAACACATAGGATAAACACAAAACATTCAGGGAACCACCAAATTAGTTCAGGGAACCACCAAATCAGTTCAGATAACACACAAAATTTGAGGAGATCAGACAAACAAAAATTTTAGCACAAAAGATTCAAGGATAAGCAAAAATCATCAACCTATAACTGCCCGTTCACCAACTCCATGACGTCAAACACGAGGATAGGCATGAATCCTTAGCTTTTTACAGAAAAGTTAAAGCAATACAGAACAAGAACGAGGAAAGATAGACAGGCAGGACTAGCTTAAGACAATCAAAGTAGTTCATCAGGCCAAACTTGAGACAATCAATAAAGTTCATGACCAATTTCACCACCAAATTAGTCCAGCACGCCAAACTTAAGGAGATCAACCAGGTTTCGTGACCAATTTCAGTACCAAATCAGTTCACCATATGCCAAATTCGAGGAAATCAACAGAATTTCATGACCAATTTCACCACCAAAGCAAGTTCATCATATGCTGAAACTAGAGGAACTTAACAGAGTTCGCGGCCGAACTTCACCACCAGACCACTACCTACTAGATCCAAGACCATCAATGAAGCAAAACAAGGAAGAAAGACACCAAACATGACGACATCAACAAGGCTTCTCTCACTCTCTCGCCGGCCATCCTCCATGAGCACTACCACATCCACAAGGACTACTCGACCTTGACGTGGAAGACGTCCTTGCGTTCCTCCTCCTTGACCTTGAGCAGGGTGACCCAGAGCAGGCCATTCTTCATCTCGGCCTTGATCTTGTCCATCTTGTATGCGTCAGGAGCGGGCACCTGGATGCGGCGGTTGTACCTCGGCACCGCGGAGTCGTCATCGCCGTCCTAGGGCTGCTTCTCGCCCTCGCCCTTGATCACCAGGATGTTCTTGTCCGCGTGCACCTCCACGTGCTCCTTGGTCAGCCCCGGCATCGACACCTTGAGGTACACCGCGTCGTCGTCCTCCTTGGCCACCCACCGTCCGAGCCGCGACACCCCAGCCCCAGCAGTGGAGGAGAGGCCGCCGGTCTGAGTTGCGACGTCCTCCATCAGAGACAGCAGACAGGCCATGCTGGTCAGCGCGCCAAGCGGGTCGAGCACGTCTGCAAAATCTACACCAAGGACACCAAAAGCATATCACAGGGATGATTTGACTCACGGTGTTGAGGCTTCAGCACGAACGCAAAGAAACGACGCGCCACAGGTAGGGAACGGAAGCATACCCTGCAAGAAGAAGCTGGGGGTGACGAGGTCACGGGCGCTGTAGTCGTCGTCGTTGTCGTAGCGGCTGACCTCCTTGGCCTGGGTGTTGTATGGGCGGCGGGCGGCGGTGACGGCGGGGGAGTCGACCAAGCAGTAGGCCACGGGAGTACCGGACTTGAGGAGGCTGGCCGGCGCGATTTCCTTGCCCTTGCAATCGACGACAGAAGCCATGGTCTCTTTCTTCTCGTTCTCTCTCTTCTCTCTCTCGCTCTAGGGTGGGTGATGATTTTGGATTCTTGTGGCTGAGCGAGACGGGGGTGGGAAATGGAGGGAGGGGGGTTTTGTAAAGGAGGAGCGGGAAGGCTTTCTTGGGGAGGGGATGGTGAGGAGGGTTTAGCAGCTTCTGGGGAGATCGGATGAGGCCTCGAGCCTTCCAAAATGATCAGGAGACCACAATTTAGGATTCGTGCTGCTTGATGTACCATGATCGGGGGCCATGGATGAAGGTAATCATTGATCTGCTGTGGTGCGCAAGGCAAGAAAGAAACAACCTTGCTTGCGTACAATTTCCTCAAATTGCTTACTTCCGGCAAGGCTCTTGTAAACACCTTTCTCTATAATTCCCTTCAATAAGCTATTTTCTTGCTCAAGTGTCACTTGGCTAAGAGAATCATTAGTGGAATCAAGAGAACTACTAGAAGCAACAACATTGGGTTTAGCATGATTATTGTTTCTACTAAAAGAAGAATCTTTCTTACTCTTGTTGCTAGATTTAACTTGTGGCATGTAAGTAGACAAGAGTAAACGCTTGGCAATGTAAGAAGAACTTTTCTTGTGAAGATCATCATTGATCGCTTTTAAAAACCCATGCTCTTGCTCAAGGTTAAGCTTTTCGAAGCGTAACTTCTCATGAGTCTTTAAAAGCTCTCGATGATTTTCCAAGGTAGTTTCATGAGCTAACTTAAGAGTGTTTAGTTCTTTAGTTAGACGCTCAATCTCCTTCTTATCATCGTCATTCATTTTATCTTGATCAGCATGATTAATAGCATGTTCATCATAGTTTTCATCACTAGAATTGTCAACAAGTAAATCATCATCACCTAGCAAATCATCTTCATCACTATTGAAATCAACATACTCGGGGTGTGATACTTTTGGGCCTTTAGCCATGAAGCATCTTCCAATTCCTTAATTTGGTGACTCAAATATGTCGTAGGAGTTGGTTGACACAAGTGCTAGACCGGCAACACCTTCATCTTGAGTATATTCGGAGTCGGAGTGTTTACTTCTCTCGGAGTGATTGTCGGAGTCGGAGCTGGATACCCATTCACAAACATGAGCTTGATGTCTTCGTTTTGTGTAGCTCCTTGATGATTTGTCCTTCCTTTCTGAATCCTTCCTTCTCTGTGATGTTCTTCGTTCATAACAGTCATCTCTAATCCTTCTCTCTCTAGGTGGTGATTCTTCTCTTCTACTTCTTCTTTTCAGAGAATCTTCTCTTCTTTTGTACGGGGTCATACACTCATTGGAGTAGTGTTCGGGTCTTCCACAATTGTAGCAATTACGTTCACGACTTGAAGATCTTTTGTCATTGTAGGACCTTGACTTGGAACTTCTTTCCTTGTTTCTAGTCTTGTAGAACTTGTTGAAATTCTTCACCATTAGGCTCAATTCTTCATTAAAGGCTTGTTTCTCACTTGATGATGTGGGAGAATCACATGAGGCTTTGTAAGCACCTCTTGACTTGTTGTGAAGCTCTTCCTTATCCTTGAGTGACATCTCATGAGCAACAATTCTTCCAATGACTTCCATTGGCTTGAGATCTTTGTAATTGGGCATCATTTGGATCAATGTGCACACGGTATCATATTTTCTATCCAAGGCTCTTAGCATCTTCTTGATGATGAATCTATCGGTCATATATTCACTTCCTAAGCAGGCAATCTCATTTGTGATGAGAGCAAGCCTAGTGTACATTTCAGCGACACCTTCACCATCCTTCATTTTGAACTTGTGAAGTTGACTTTGAAGCACATCCAATTTGGATTCCTTGACGGAGTCGGTACCTTCGTGCATATCAATCAAAGTATCCCAAATTTCCTTTGCATTCTCAAGACGGCTGATCTTGTTGAATTATTCGGGGCACAATCCGTTGAAGAGAATATCACAAGCTTGAGGTTGGTATTGCAGCATCTTCAACTCTTCCACGCTAGCTTCACGGTTCGGTTCTCTCCCATCAAAAAATTCACCTTGCAAGACAATACACACAATAGCCCAAACGGCGGGGTTATGTCCAAGAATATGCATTTTCATCTTATGATTCCAACTAGCAAAATTTGTACCATCAAAGTAAGGACCTCTACGGTGATAATTTCCCTCGCTAGACGCCATACTCTCCTAGGTTGTGAAACCAAGGATATGATCACCAAAAGCTATGGAAATCAAGGAAAATGGAGACCAAAGCTCTGATACCACTTGTAGGATCGAAAGTATGTCTAGAGGGGGGTGATTGATGTCTACTACACAACCTTATTCTTGTAGGCGTTGTTGGGCCTCCAAGTGCAGAGGTTTGTAGGACAGTAGCAAATTTCCCTCAAGTGGATGACCTAAGGTTTATCAATCCGTAGGAGGCGTAGGATGAAGATGGTCTCTCTCAAGCAACCCTGCAACCAAATAATAAAGAGTCTCTTGTGTCCCCAACACACCCAATACACTGGTAAATTGTATAGGTGCACTAGTTCGGCGAAGAGATGGTGATACAAGTGGTATATGGATAGTAGATAAAGGTTTTTGTAATCTGAAAATATAAAAACAGCAAGGTAACTAATGATAAAAGTGAGCGTAAATGGTATTGCAATGATAAGAAACAAGGCCTAGGGTTCATACTTTCTCTAGTGTAAGTTCCCTCAACAATAATAACATAATTGGATCATATAACTATCCCTCAACATGCAACAAAGAGTCACTCCAAAGTCACCAATAGCGGAGAACAAACAAAGAGATTATGCTAGGGTACGAAAGCACCTCAAAGTTAATCTTTCCAATCAATCTGTTGGGCTATTCCTATAAGTGTCACAAACAACCCTAGAGATCGTACTAGAATAACACCTTAAGACACAAATCAACCAAAACCCTAATGTCACATAGATACTCCAATGTCACCTCAAGTATCCGTGGGTATGATTATACGATATGCATTACACAATCTCAAGTTCATCTATTCAACCAACACATAGAACCTCAAAGAGTGCCCCAAACTTTCTACCAGAATCACGACGAAAACGTGTGCCAACCCCTATGCATAGGTTTATGGGCGGAACCCGCAAGTTGATCACCAAAACATACATCAAGTGAATCACGTGATATCCCATTGTCACCACAGATACGCACGGCAAGACATACATCAAGTGTTCTCAAATCTTTAAAGACTCAATCCGATAAGATAACTTCAATGGGGAAACTCAATCCATTACAAGAGAGTAGAGGGGGGAGAAACCATCATAAGATCCAACTATAATAGCAAAGCTCGTGATACATCAAGATCGTACCACCTCAAGAACACGAGAGAGAGATCAAACACATAGCTACTGGTACATACCCTCTGCCCCGAGGGAGAACTACTCCTTCCTCGTCATGGAGAGCACCGGGATGATGAAGATGGCCACCGGAGAGGGATTGCCCCCTCTGAAAGGGTGCCGAAACGGGTCTAGATTGGCTTTCGGTGGCTACGGAGGCTTCTGGCGGCGGAACTCCCGATCGATTGTGCTCTCGGATGTTTTTAGGGTATATGGAGATATATAGGCGGAAGAAGTACGTCAGGGGGGCCACGAGGGTGGAGGGCGCGCCCTAGGGGGGTGGGCGCGCCCCCTACCTCGTGGCCTCCTCGAAGCTTCCCTTACGTGCACTTCAAGTCTTTTGGTCTTCTTTCCTTCCAAAAATGAGTTCCGTGAAGTTTCAGGTCAATTGGACTCCGTTAGATTTTCTTTTTCTTCGAAACCCTAAAACAAGGTAAAAACATAAACTGGCACTGGGCTCTGGGTTAATAGGTTAATCCCAAAAATGATATAAAAGTGAATAATAAGGCCCAATATTGTCCAAAACTGTAGATACTATAGCATGGAGTAATCAAAAATTATAGATACGTTGGAGACGTATCAGCATCCCCTGCTCGTCCTCGAGTAGGTAAATGATAAAAACAGAATTTTTGATGCGGAGTGCTACTTGGCATAATTTCAATGTAATTCTTCTTATTTGTGGCATGAATATTCAGATCCATAAGATTCAAGACAAAAGTTTAATATTCACATAAAAATAATAATACTTCAAGCATACTAACTAAGCAATCATGTATTCTCAAAATAACATGGCCAAAGAAAGCTATCCCTACAAAATCATATAGTCTGGCTATGCTCTATCTTCACCGCACAAAAAATTTAAATCATGCACAACCCCGATGACAAGACAAGCAATTGTTTCATACTTTTGATGTTCTCGAACTTTTTCAATCTTCACGCAATATATGAGCATGAGCCATGGATATAGCACTATAGGTGGAATAGAGTGGTGGTTGTGTAGAAGACAAAAAGGGAGAAGATAGTCTCACATCAACTAGGCGTATCAACGGGCTATGGAGATTCCCATCAATAGATATCAATGTGAGTGAGTAGGGATTGCCATGCAACGGATGCACTAGAGCTATAAGTATATGAAAGCTCAAAAAGAAACTAAGTGGGTGTGCATCCAACTTGCTTGCTCATATAGACCTAGGGCATTTTGAGGAAGCCCATCATTGGAATATACAAGCCAAGTTCTATAATGAAAGATTCCCACTAGTATATGAAAGTGATAACATGAGAGACTCTCTACTATGAAGATCATGGAGCGACTTTGAAGCACAAGTGTGGTAAAAGGATAGTAGCATTGCCCCTTCTCTCTTTTTCTCTCATTTTTTTATTTGGGCCTTTCTCTTTTTTTATGGCCTCTTTTCTGTTTTTTTATTTGGGCTTCTTTGGCCTCTTTTATTTATTTATTTTTGTCCGGAGTCTCATCCCGACTTGTGGGGGAATCATAGTCTCCATCATCCTTTCCTTACTGGGACAATGCTCTAATAATGATGATCATCACACTTTTATTTACTTACAACTCAACAATTACAACTCGATACTTAGAAGAAAATATGACTCTATATGAATGCCTCCGGCGGTGTACCGGGATGTGCAATGATGCATGAG